TAAAAGTGACTGATTATTGTTCGATCCACGTGGCTTCTCCGTTTTAGGTGAAAAGTTGACCATTCTGGAAACAAGGATAGTCTGGCATAGTATCTAATTTTCTGGCATAGTATCTAATTTTGGATTTTCTGCTAATATATAACTAACTCTCACAGAGAAAACGTAACAAGTAAAAGTGACTGAATAGAGTAACTCGATCTTTGACTAGTGTAATTAACTAGTTTTCTTAAGGGTGTTCCCCTCCCTCATGTTATTTGTCGTGATTCTCTTCTATGCGTCCATTAAAAAATATTAATTAGGAAAGACTTTTAACTATATTATCCTTCATTGATATTTAAACAATCATAACATCATTCTATAATTGAGGTGTTTGTAGTCTTCAATAACAATAGGCACCATATAATACATAAACATACACTCAAACTTGGCCTCGATTGGTAAATAATCACTTCAACTTTGAAAATGCATAACTAGACATCATGAGATTTTACGACTCGTACTTGATCAGAACCCAATAGCTATACTACTTCTAATGTGAAATGGAGAGTATTACACAACAAACAGAAGAAAGAACAATAACGACAACATGATAATGCAATAATCGAAACACAAAAAATATGAGTGATAGACGAAATCAAAAATAAAAAAACTACGAAAATAGTGTTAATATTACTGGTGAAGGAAGGTCCAAGTATATATGACTTAGCACTTTTGCTTCCATGTTGGTGTATTATTTTATCCTCCCAAATATATATATATATACATCAAATGAAGTACCAGTTTGAGATATAATTTCTTTTAAATTACACTGCAAGTCATTTTTAGAAATACCAATTTCTTTTAATTTAATTATTATATTTTTACATTTAAAGATTAATGATTTTTCAGCTTCTCTTTTTCTTACATTTTTTATTTTTTAAAATAAGTTTTACATATCTAAGATTTATTTTTGAAAGAACTTTCAAATATTTTTGATATCATCGACTTTGAGTATTATTTAAATAAATTGGAGTACATTAATGATAGTATATGAAGCAAAGTTCGTTTTAAATTAATTTTTGTATTATTGATTGAATGAACTAAGAAGAGAAAATATAGTCTGAAGCAATAGAAGCACCAATTTTAAAACTTTTTCATGTTGCGAAGAACACTTAATAAGTTATGAATTATTATTTTATAAGATTAATTAGTCTAGATTTTAAAAAGAAAAAAGGAGTAAAAAGTTACTTGAGGATTGTCTCAAATTGCTTCAATGGTGTTGAAGAAGAACGAGGTAAAAAAATGAGGACAAGAAAGCGATGAAAGAATCCTTCTTATTTTTGACAACCAAATAAGAATCCTAAACAAACTTTTATAATTAATTTAGAGTTTAAGTTTGACAATCAAATAAGAATCCTAAACAAACTCTTATAATTAATTTAGAGTTTAAGTTACAATATAATATATATTTTTTATTTAAGTATTAATAATATGTACACACATTAAAGGAAATTAGTATTTCTAAAAATGATCTGAGAGTGTAATTTTATTGTCCGCTGTCAGTGGAAGAGAAGTTAATCTCATAATGAAACTAGATTAGTGATGAAACTTATCCTAAATAATTGGCGAATTAAGATTAATTAGAGTTAGATACTATGTGATTAGAAACAATTCTGCTAAGTCATGGTTCTACCCCGTACAAAATAATTGACAAATTAAAAGTTTACTAATTTTTTTTTTTAAAAAAATGATGTTAAATTAATTAAATTGAAAGAAATATTATTTTTTTTATAACAAAATTAAAGAATATGTAAATAGGGGTAAAACGGGGCGGGCAAGGCTGAATCTACGGGGCCGCACAAAACTTTAGCAAAGCCTGCCCCGCTCCGCTCTGCACCGCTGTCATTCCTATTTTAAAGGTCTAAAATGCCCTTGTTTTTCATTATATATAATTTACACATAAACCTACCACTCAAACTTTTCCAATCCTAATGGAAATGCAAGATTCAATTCTTGTTCCGCCGGAAGAACTCGTCATTGAAATCCTCTTAAAAGCTTCCAATAAAATCCCTTTTGAAATTTAAATGCGTTTCGAAATCTTGGCTCGCTTTAATCTCTAGCCCTGAATTTGTCAAAACTCATCTCCATTTAAATGCTAATAACAAGGAATACACTCACCATAAGGTTATGATGAGATGTATTTCTAACTATGGTTTTAAAAGTTGTAGTCTTACCTCTTTATTTAATGAGTCTCGTGTTACTGAGGCAAAATATTTGGATTATCCCACCAAATCCTATGGATTGGAGGGAGATCGATATGATGTTTCTATTTTAGGTTCTGTCAATGGATTGATTTGTCTTGTCAATGACGACGAGGAGTTGTTTCTATGGAATCCGTCAATTAGGAAGTACAAGAAATTGCCTGATCCTAAAACATCTCTGCCTCCGCAAGGTGGTCCTAGGCGAGCATATGGTTTTGGATATGATGAGGTCCATGATGATTACAAGGTAGTTATTTTCAACGAGATAGAAACTAACATGATTCGTGAGTTTGAGGTCAAAATGTATAGTCTAAAGAGTGATTCTTGGAGATGTGTTGATGATTGTCCACGAATGGCTCAATTTAATGTTTCAGGTAAGTTTGTGCATGGGAAACTTCATTGGGATAGTACTTATCGGGAATCCGATTTGGCTACATTTTGTGACCGGTATAGGGATCCAAACATCATTTCTATTGATTTGGCTGACGAGAAATGGGGAGAGATGGATCAACCCTGCGATGACGTAGGAGAAATTGCTTTGAGGGTGGGAGTATTAGGAAGTGATCTTTCAGTCCTTTGTAATTGTAACATGCTTCTCGTAGATGTTTGGGTTATGAAGGAGTATGGAGTTAAAGAATCTTGGACAAAGATGTTTACCATCAAATATACACTGAGGAGTGGATATCTTGGGCAAAGATGTTTACACATGTCAAATGAAGGTGAAATTTTGGTTGTGATTAAGGGAGAGTTCATGATATACAATCCAAAGGATGACTCGCTCAGATATTCTAAAGTTATAATTAACTCTGATAAATGGGACGGGAATGAAATCTATGTTGAAAGCTTAGTTTGTCCTTGAGGATGAAATCAAGTAACAAGTAACTTATAAGAGTACTTTCTTGTCAAGTGTTGTTAAACTCTGTTTGTTATTTCGAACATAGAACAAGCAATGTATATGTAAAGTATATATTCCTTATATTATATTGCCATGGAAATGAACAATAATTTTAACATGTACGTCGGTCATTTTTATGATGAAGTTCTTTTATCTCAAGAACGAATAATCTGAATTTGATGCTATATGTATTAAGATGTATTCATTTTAACTCAATGTGAAATGTCAGTAGTAAAACTTGTTTTCCGAAGAGAAAATGTTTTCCAAAATATTTGATCAGTCAAGAATACTAACTTGAAAATCTAATCTAGAATACAATTTATAAGATAATACTAACTTGAAAGACCTAAAAATGTGCTGAAAATATCCAACTCCCAAAGACTAGAAAAATAAATTATTTTTCAGTAAAGAGTAATAGGGTTTTAGTATATGTACAAAGATTTAAAACAAGGAAATAGTGCCAACAGAACTCATCACTGAAATAGGTGAAAATGATAAAGAAATTTCCATTAACAAGAAGCCAGAAGTCTTTGAAATTTACAGGTGTATATTTTCTCAACTTGAATGGTTTAAAGTCTTGCTCTATGCACACAAAAATAACGTTACTACATCGCAATGAATAGTCTAAACTTGGAAAAAGCCATGTTTCTTTATTGCAATCCATGAACTCGGCACTCAGCATGGGGTAATTTAGTTGTTTGTAACATCAGCATTTACTTCCTGAAAGTTCAATAGTACATAACAGTTAACAACGCGCCTCAGAACTAAAAAACTGAGTACATAACGAGAGTAAGACATGCAGGGCTATCCGCACACAGAAATCACACAGAAACTGAATGTCTTGTTTAGGCAACAAAAAAAACAAGCTCTAGTTCCATACGAAGTACGAATGACATTTGAGGCATGTCAAATTGGTTCCATTCAACTTCTAAACAATGAACACAAACAGATGGAACATGTTGCAACTTCAAGTGGTACACAGTCTATTAAAGATATTAAGAGAATAAAAGTTAAAGACAAATCATTAGTAATACTCATGCAGATCAAACACACTATGCTGCCAAAAAAAGGGTAATTGGATGATCTAGAGCTGGAGATTCACCGTGTCCGTCTCTAGCTCTAGTAAATCTAACTCACAAAGATTTCCACATTATACCTTTTTGACTACTTTCGCTTTTCTCCTTCATATCATTCCATCGATGCACAACAAGTACTTTGGCATGCACTATATTTCTCCCTGCTTCCTCAGTTTAATAGATCATGAAGGACGCAAACCAACAAATTTGAACCACAATTAAGACAATGCAAATCTATAAACTCCTGAGATTGTTTCTTGAAATAATTATTTTCCTGTTTGTATAGCTTGGCTACATTGACTTAGGACGCAAATCAACAAATTTGAACCACAATCTATAAACTAGATACGACGTCATACCTTAGACCTTAACTGTTATTTGTTCCATATTTCCTCCTTTCCCCCTAATAAAGTCCTCTATATCAAAGAATAACCCAGGCAAGTGCTACACCTACGCATTATTGTCGCAATTCACCTGCCACGATTTCCATATTTGTGGTGCTTTCTTTATTTTTAACTCTGTTTCGAGGCAGAACATCCCCCTCAAATTAACGCTCAAGAAGATAATCAATGTAGAGTACCACTTAATTTGAAGACAAAGACACCAAGCACTTCAACCAAATAATTGTTCTTGCAAAAAAATGTTGTCTCATGAAGCAAAACAGAAAAAAAAAGAACAAGATCTCTGGGAATAGATGGTTCAATGTCTTGCTTTATATTTGGAAATGTAACAGCACTAGAGAAAAATGTGTAGAGAGCTCTTACTAAATTACTAATGACACGATTGTCTTCATCTAAGTTTTTCTAGCCTTGGTTGTTGTTGCATCCTTGGTTTCGTCGAAATGGGCCAAACTAGGCTTTCAATGAAGATGTATGCCTCATAAAAGGCATTATAGCAGGTAATCTCTGAATATCTTATTGAGTCATCTTTGGGATTGTAAATCATGAAAGTTGATCCAAACTGAAACAAAATTCCACCTTTATTTGACAAGCAAAACAATGGACAATATTGATAACCTACGGGATCATAGGGAAGATTGATAGTAAACATCTTAGTCCAAGACTCTTTAACCCCATACTCCTTCAAAACCCACACATCCGCACGAATTCTCTCATAATTACAGAACACAGAAAGATCACCTCCCAAAACTCCCATCGTAAAATCAAAAACTCCTTCGCCATAACAAGGTTGCTCCACCTTTCCCCATTTCCCATCAGGCAAATTAATAGAAATGACACTCCAAGCATCATAAGAAATAACACTTTGAACATCACTATAAGCCCAATGAAGTTTCCCATTCACAAAAACACCCGACTTCATAAACAACACCCCACTCGGAAAATCATCAATACTTCTCCAAGAATCCTTATTTACACTATATATATCAACCTTACAAGAATTCCAACTTCGAAAACCTGCCACTACCCTATAATCATCATGAATCTCATCATATCCAAAACCATACATGTAACATGAATTCCCATTCATACTAGCTCTAGAATCAGGCAATTTGTTACACTTCCTAATCGACGGATTCCATATAAACAAATATTTCTCTTCAATAGCAACACAAATCAATCCATTAACCGAACCCACAATCGAAAGAAACTTATTGCAGTTTTTCACAGGATAATCCAAATCAAATGCTTCAGTAACAGAACAACTGAATAAAGAACTAAAAGAACAGTCTTGAAGACTACAGTAAGGTGGATCAAACCTCAATATAAGCTTATGACGCTTGAAATCCTTGTTATTAACAGATAAACTGAGATGGGTGTTGATAAATTCAGTACTAGAGATTAAAAAAAGCCAAGATTTTGAAACAGACTTGAATTTCATTAGTGATTTTACAGGTAGGTTTAAGAGGATTTTATTGATGAGCTCAAATGGCAGATAAAAAGGGGTTATAAAGATTGAATCTTTACCATGATTTATGGGTTTTCTTCTCTTTGGGTGTTGATTTGAAGCTTCATATACATGAAATTCCATTGGGGTTTGAGCAAATTTGAGTTCTTGGAGAAAAGTGTATACAGGTTTTGATGGTTTTTTTTTTGACTTTGCAGCTGCTTCGTTTTTTTCTCAAATGGACTGACGATTTTTCCAATTTGTACCATATATTATTATACTAGATAATGTTGCCCGTGCTATGCACGGGTCTAATAATATAAATGTTATGTTTTGGGGCTAATAACTGAGTTTTTGAAGCAATTATTTGCGTGGATAAAGAAATAAGTTTTTTTTATCACAAATCTGTACTTTCTTTGACGCTATTTAAGGCATAATAAGACTACCCACAAACAACATTTTGTAAATATTTTATATTGTCAATTATCATGATTTATAGTATTTTTACGATAGATTCACTTCAAGATCAGTGAATTTTTTTATATTTTTTTCAAAACATATTTTATGTTGTCAATTATCATGATTTATAGTATTTTTACGCAATTTTTAAATATATAAAAAAAATAAGACAAATAAATTAAAATTGACCCAATATATGTTATTTTTGTTGTCTCAATTTATGTGACACAAATGAAATTGTGAGAGTCATCCAAATTTTCATATTTTTTTTTAAAAATGTTTTAAGTTATTAACTATTGTGATTTATAATATTTTTATGTAACTTTGAAATAATGTACATTACTGGTCACTTTGTCCTAATTTATGTGATATGGATAAAATTACAAAATTAACCCTTTTAAAATGTCTTTCAGATATTTTAAGTTGTTAATTATTATTATTTATAATACTTTTTTGGTAATTTTAAAATGATAAGTGTTATTTTTTCTGTCCCAATATATGTGAGTCTGATAGAATTCTGAGAGTCAACCTATTTTATTATATAACTTTTAGATATTTTAAATTGGTAATTATTGTAATTTTTAATGCTTTTTAAGTCATTTGTAAATGATATATGTTGCTTCCTTGATTGAGACTTTTCCATTTGTGACATATATATATTATTTTAAAAGAGCGTTTATGCCCAAGTTCTACTATATTTATATATTATACTTGGGCATAAACTCCCTTTTAAAAGTCCCACAAGTATAATATATAATATTCAAAATTGGAAAAAGTCTCAATCTTGAATATTATATATTATACTTGGCCCTAAACTCTCTTTTATAATATAGTAGATATATATATATATATATATATATATATATATATATATATATATATATATATATATATAAATGTATAGATCTAACAAAGAAATAAAATATATATCTGTAAAATTCTTTTGTCATCTTTCATTCATTTTACTTGTAAGTAATTGGCTTGCAAATATATATCAAAAATTTAGAATATTATAAAAATAATAATTGAGTTCGTTCCGTCTTTAATAAGAAATCTCAAATTGGAGTCGTTAGAAATTTAAAAAAAAATCATTTCTTCTTTAATGAATCTTACGCGTAATCAGGGTCTTAAAATAAATAACGATCTGCTAGTAGGAAAATTGGATGAAAACTTAGAGAAAATTATAACAAGAAAGAAACAAATTAAAACATAATGCAAAAAGAACGAGGAGAGAATTTAATTTTCCATCATTTAGTTAGTAATTAATTAACATGTTTGAAATTGACATAAAAGTGACATTTTGGATATATTATATAATATATTATATCATATAGAAAAAGAAACGTATAAGCATTCTATTCCTTTTTGAATTTTATTTTTATTTAAAAATAAAAAAAACGGAAAGCAAAGGTTTACTATTTTAGATTTCCTTTTAAATAGCTGATTTTTTTTTGTCGTTTTACTTTTTATGACGGGCAGTCTGAGGATAAAAGATTTTGAGAAAAAAAATGTTTTTTATGAAAAAATTTTTTGTAGAACTTAAGTGAATTTGTATTTTTTATGTTCGGTATATAAGTAAACATATTTTATTTAAAGTATTTATATATAATTTAGATAAATATTATTGAATCGGGAACTGATGGTAAGGGTTGTGGCCTTGTGGGGTAATGTCGTAATGGGGATGAGGCTACAAGGTTTGAATGAAGATGAGTTATGTTGAAGAGTGGATAATTTACAATTAATGTAAAATGTGTGGGATTTATTTTTCCTACCATAGTTTTTTTTTTTCTTTTATGGTATTTATCTATACTATTTATGTTTGAAGATGGCTATAAACTTGTTATCAAATCAATCATTATATTTTATTCATGGTTGACGAATGACGACGTTAGACCATCTCCAACCCACCTCTATTTTACTCTCATTCTTTATATTTGGAGAATAAAATAGATAATGGGCACTCCAACCCACCTTCAAATCACCCTCTATTCTTCAAATTTAAAGAGTTGAATAGTAGTTCTCCAAATTTGGAGAACTACTATTCACACTCTCTATTTCACTTTTTCATTATTTTATTATTATTTCTATTACTTTCTAATTAACATATTATTTTACATATAATTCCATTATTTAAATTTCTAATATTCATAATTCTTTTTTAAATGTAATATAATATTTTTAAAAAATATTATTTAATATATACTATTTTAATTTCACATTAATAGTATTTTATTCTTTTTTCTAATTTTCGTGAATAATAAAATTTTATTTTATTATTAATTTTCATTATAAAGAATACGCAAAATTAAAATGGCAAGATGAAAAAAATTTAATTTAAAAATACAATACATGATATGATAATTTAAATACAAGATAACAATACAATACATAACATAATAATTTAAATACAAGATAACAATACAATATAATACATAACATAATAATTTAAATACAAGATAAAATACAATACATAACATAATAATTAATTGATCACAACAATAATTTAGAAATCCGGTAGGCCGTTTCCAGATTTAGCACTATTCGGAAAAAAATTAGGATATGATTCCGAGAATTGTTGCGATTGTGGTTGTGATAGCGGTTGTGACTGTGGTTGTGATTGTCGATTTCATTTTTCAAGTATTCGTTGTTGTTCTCGTTGCAAGTAATCACGAATTTGGATCACTAATAGTTTCTACTGTAGAGGTTTTTGGTGAGCGATATTTGAGATCACCAACACCTAACGATGTTGCGAGGCTTCTACACATTGGTGAGCAACGTGGTTTCCCAGGAATGTTAGGTAGTCTAGATTGCATGCACTGGAAATGGAAAAATTGTCCAACAGCATGGACTGGGCAATACGCAAGTCGTAGCAGATCACCAACAATTATTCTTGAAGTTGTTGCTGATTATGACCTTTGGATATGGCATGCTTATTTTGGTTTGCCTGGCACCAATAACGATATTAATGTTTTAGAGTCATCACATTTATTTTCCAATCTTGCTAGTGGTATTGTGCCTCCCGCCTATTATGTTATTCAAGGAAAATAATATGATATGGGTTATTACTTAGCTGATGGTATATATCATAAATGGTCTACAATTACTCAAACTATTTATGATCCTCATTCCCAAAAGAAGAAATATTTTGCGATGAAACAAGAATCGTGTCGAAAAGATGTTGAACGTGCATTAAGAGTTTTGCAATCACGTTTTGCAATTATTGCAGGACCGTCACGTTTTTGGAGAAAAGAAGTGCTACATGATATAATGACTACATGTATTATATTGCACAACATGATAATTGAGGATGAATGTGATCTCAATGCAATTCAAGATTTCGTAGAGGCTCCAACTCCAACTATAGAAATGGTGGGAGATGAAAATCTCCGGTTTGAACAATTTTTAGCTAGACATAAAAAAATTAAGGACAAAAATGCTCATTTTGAACTCCGTAATGCAATAATAGAGCATTTATGGGAGCAACATAATAATTTTCAAAATTGAGTGTTTATGTAATTGTATGTCACTTTTATTTGAATTTGTCCCCTGATTTATGTATTATATTATATTTTCTTGCAATTTATGATATTTAAAATTTAGAATAAAGTATAATTTCATATCACATTAAAAATTATATAAAGTAATTATTTGGGAAAAAAGAAATAAAGGATTTATATTATGAAATAAGAAAATAAGAATGAAATAGAAATAATAATATAATAGTGAGGAGAGAGAAAAAGATTCCTTTTTAGAGAGTAAAATAGAGAATTGGATTGGAGTTGGTTGTCTGAAAAAATAAAGAACTCTATATTTGGAGAGTAAAATAGAGGATTGGGTTGGAGATGCCCTTAGGCAAAGAAAATAAAAGAAATAAAATGGGTCCAAAGTGAAGGTACAATTTATGTTAGTATTGGTTCAATTTGTTGTTGTATGGGCCCAGTATAATGTACCATTTACACTACTTTTGGTACCATATGTAATTGCCGTGTTCGTACCCTCAAGTCCCACATCTAATAAGGAGTAATACAAATAAATACTAATATGTCACTTTTGGAATTTTAAAATTCAAACAAGATTTTATTTTTAACCTATTATTTTCTTAATAGTTTTTTATGGGGAAATTACGGGAATAAGTAAATATATATTAGTTAATTAGTTAGTTAACATAGATATAGTTTAGCTAATTTACCGTTTGAACTCATCATTAAAATTCTCTCGAGGTTTCCAGTAAAATCACTCTTGAAGAACGATAGTGGGTTTTGTCAATAGATTGATTTGTTTTGTTATTGAGTGCACTAATTTGTTTATATGGAACCCGTCTATTAGAAAGTTTAAGAAATTGCCTGATTTTAGACCTAGATATAGATATTGTTTCAAATGTGGTTTTGGATATGATGAGTTTCTTGATGATTATAAGATAGTAAGTATCTTCTTTTCGTACAAATACGACAATTTGTGTCAGGGTGAGATAAAATATATAGTCTAAAGAGTGATTATTGGAGAACTGTTGTTAAGGAATGCAATTCCCTTCTAAGACAGGAACATTTGTTAGTGGAACATTTCGAAAGTTATTCTGAAGCAACTTGCAGCACTTAATCAAGACTTCTTTTGAACCAATTCTTTGTGTACTTTGTCTATATTTTCTAGTATGGTCGGCTTGGAGACATCAGAGGAAGACCATCATCTCTATCCGAGTAATATTGATTATAGTTTCGTTCATTTGTTGAACCTTGAGATTATCATTAGCATTGAAGTCAATCATCATACTATTCATATCATACATATTACATTACTCGAAATGAGAGTGTATAGTCGATACACACCTAAAGTGCCTACGTTTTGCTTACAATCAATAGAAGTTAAATGGTATGTTTATGTATTATGTGTCATTTAACTTGGCTTCATGTCATTCCCCGAGCCTACATCCTGGGCGGGACTGGCACTCGAAGACCATTGTTGGCCCCAAGCGAACCTTGTGCCTGGCTTACTTAACTCAGCGGAAGACAATATTTATATCTATAATGATCAATGAATTTAATTAAATTGAATAATAAAATAACTGAGAATGTTTTAAAGATTAAACATTCAACTTGGCCAAAAGTGGCAATCCAAGTCTTTAACATAAGAATGATAATACAAAGACTAATAAACTACTAACTGTCTATGAAGCCTCTAAAACAAAGAGGGATGTCGGGACATGACCCACGATCATCCTAAAATCTGAAAGACTAGAAAGCAAATAAATGAGTCCTCCAAAATGCAAGGAGGCTTACCAACAGACTCTGAATGCTCAAGCTGGATCAACGAGGCGCTGTATGCTGATCCTGGTTACCTGCGTCTGCATCATAATAAAATGTAGGCCAACTGACATCAGTACATTGAATGCACGAGTATGCAAGTTGGAATGCTAACAAACATAGGCTCGAAAGAGATTATGAAAGAAACACCTACCTGGCTCTTCTCAACTCATGGATACTCAACTCAATATAAAACAATAAAACACATGTGATATATATATATATATATATAAAGTTTATAAAACAACTGAAAACAATCTTAGTTCGTTAAAAATAAAGCAATAACAAACTTAACTTTACTCATTTAGAAAGTAATATAACTTCTGTGAGAGATTCTCTAACCGACAACCATCACTATGAGCCTAAGTGATGGTACAACGTTTTACCTCACGTTGCCAAGGACCATCCTTTACCTTGCCATCGGTATAGAACTTGAACTACTAAGTGGATCTACTAGTCTATGCTAAAAAGCACTAAGGAATCATCTAAAAAGTTTGATCTTTTTTCTGCCCAAGATGGCTACATGGTTTATGGGCTTGAGTTAATATGAACTCGTGTCCCCATATTGGTGCTCAATACTACTCCCAAATTATACTTAGCTCATATGTTTTTAAAACAACTTCTTCCCTGGTTTGAGATAATTGCTCAAACTTAGCTTAAAAAGCTCTCTTGGAATCAATGTTCCTTTTTGTTGTTCAAAACTCTTTTGGAAATCTCAGTTTCCTCTTATCTTAAATGTGAAAACATTTACTCTTGGAAATACTTAGTTCCCATATATCATTTTAAAGAAAAAGAACTTTGCTCTTACTCTTTACTCAACTTCAAAACTTAAGTCTTAAAACAAAGTTAAAACGTTTGTAAAAGACTTGTGAAAATTTGAATGAACTTCTCTTACTTGACTCTTGACTTCTCTTGACTTTGATCTTAACTGTTCTTGACTTGACGCTTAACTAATCCTTGAATTGAATTATGGATTCAAGGACTATGATTGGTGTTTGGAAAGATCTTATGTTGTTTAGGAATGATTTTAGATAACTAAACATGAGAAAAGACCGAAAATCAAGATTTGAAAGTGGGTCCGCGACGCGGAGGCATAATTAAATTATGGTTCCGAAAATGTCTTTTGAGGCAGAACACCTTGTGTCAGCTCTGTGACGCGAAACTGAAGCTTCAAATCTGGGCACTAGGCGCGCGACGCGCGGCCACCCTCTGATTTCGTTTGACGAAACTTCTTCTTCATTTTCCAGCCCCAATTCACCCAAACTCGGTTCTTTTTCTCAAATTACCTTTAGATACAAATACCCAACAAATGTACCTAAGAACCTAACTCGAAACGACTCTATAATGTGACGTAACGAACTTAGAAACTTCTCAATTCATCCCAATTCAAGAACAACATTCAAATTTAAGAATTCATGTCAAGAACATCAACTTTCAAACTCTTTTAGGACGAATTTCGTTGAACTAAACATGTTTGGCGCTTGGGTGAATGAATCCAACGCTATGAGAGACTCACATACCTTGTAGGGTCAATTCCTTGGCGAATTCGCAACCAAAATCGATCGTTCTTGGCAAATCTTGCTTTTCCTCTTCTCCTTTCTCTTGCGTTCTTTCTCCAAAACCCCCAACTCTATTTCTCAAAAGTGTAAACTGAACTAACTCAGTTTTGACCCCAATTATTTTATTAAAAACGGATTTAATTAATTGGGTAAGGAAAAGACCAAACTACTATTCAAAAATCTGGATTGGGCATTTCCTTATTTGAACAACCCAACTTCCAAAGGGCATAACTCACTAATACGAACTCGAAATTGCGCAAACATAGCGGTGTTGGAAAGATCATTCCAAGAGTTTTCCAACCATATCTGGAACTACACCTAAATCATCCTGAGCTAGGAGTTATGATCGTTTGAAGTTGACCAAAAACTCACTTTAACTTGCTTAAAACTTTCCAGATTTCCTTGTACTTTCCAAAAATAACTATTTCGAGATTTTAAACTTCCTTCTAGTTCTTTCTAGTTGCGAGATGTTATATTTCAGTTAGCATCTATGTCATCCAACGTAACTTCATATGTGCATAAATAAACACTTAAACTTGTATAAAAGTAAACAAGTAAGCACACACGTCCTACGTGACATATTACACGTAGGATGTCATGTAGGATACAAATTGTCATATAGGGTGACATGTAGGACGTATATGTCTACTTATTTAATTTTATACAAATTTAAATACGTAAATTTTTCTTATGCAAGAAATTCCTTTTCTGCCATTAGATCTCATCACTGAAATCCTATCGAGGCATTAGGTGAAAATCCTCTTGAAATTCAAAATGTAACATACTTACAAGTGATCAATTAATACTTATCAAGTTAATATCTTAGTACGTAACAACATAGATCAATCATATATATTTTAATTTATTAAATTGTTCGTGATGCACAATAAATCAAATTAAGATCAAGTTTTTGAATCATCCAATTTAATATCTTTCAAGTTCAAGATCAAACTCTCGAGACCTTGAATTAGCTTCCATAAAATTATTATAAGTGTACAAATCCCTAGTTCATTTAATTCGTAAAGTTGATAAATGATCACCTTTTGTTTGGTCCCAGATGACTATAGTCAGTCATTGAGATGACAAGTACCAAGTTTATTTTTATATTTTTATGATTTTTTTTTGTTTTCTATTCAGGATTCAGAGCCCTGATTAAATTTAGATCGCATATAACATAGCTTATTTAGATGTGACACTTCCAAGACGATACAAGTACAAAGTTTATATCTTATTACTATTATCTTTTACGTTATTCATAATTTGGACCACTAGCACTATAGTAAAAAGTTTATGAACGTAAAAATAAAAGTAATATAAATACAATAACAATATATTTATTGTGATAAAATTTAATTGAATTATACACAAATTAAATTTGACACTATAACTAGAAAAATAAAAATAAACTCCACAAGAATTTGGGCAGACTTTTTGTCATATTCATTAGCATTGAGTTTCTTTCAATTTTAGCCAAAAATAATGATAATACAACTTGTCTCTATGGTGAGGTCCACTCTCATGTTATTCTATAAACTTCTTTCACTCTTGTCTTTTCCATTGTCTCAAAGTCCCTTTTTTTTCTTTCACGTTCGATTAAATTTGAATTTACATTAAAAGAATTTATATTACGAGGTAAAACGCTTTCTAAAAAAATAACTCTGTATTTAAGAAAATTCAAACTTGAGATCTCTAATTAACGATAAAAAATATTAATCACTCCACTACAATCCTTGTTGGTAGAATCCTTCATCTAAAGCCACACAATCATTAGTTCTAACTAAAATTTAATTAAATTTATAATTAATAATTCTAACATAGTTTCTTAAAGATAAGTGGCAAGAAATTTAGGATTATTTTATTCCGTATTTGATTGAAATTTTTATTCTACAAGTAACCATTCTAGGGTAATTTCCTATTATAATATCAACATTTCAAAGATATCCTTCTTCAAAGCTTTTATTCTACAGTTCTTTTTAGAAAAAAATAAATTAAGGCTAAAATTGAAAATTAATGTTTGTTTAAATTCAATTTTAATATTATAATTTTTGTATTACTTGTTTGCAAACCGAACTATGAAACTCAAAATTGATGTTTTGAGTCATGGCATGGCCTCATGACACTTGCAACAACCTATAGTTGACAATATATTTTTTCCTTTTTTGAAATAAATTCTAAAATTATTTTATAAAGATGACATTACCAAAATGTCATGTTATGTCTTGTTTATTGTCACATTTGTGGTCAAAAGAATAAATTATGGACTAGGACTACTTTAATCAATTGGGGTATGATTAATTATTTAACCATGTTAAATTAAACTAAGTTACTTACTTTAAAAACATGATAAAGACAACACACCAATAAGTAATACTCATTATATCTCAATTTGTTATGCTTGATTCAGAGTACGATAATTAAATTAACTAATGTTGGTCTATATTCGGAAAAGTATTAAAAATAACAATAAATCAATAATTAAAAAAAATGATATTTGAAAAAATTATAATCGAATGAACTATTTCTTGATTGTTCAAATAATAACTAAGATAAACAAGTTAAAACAGAGGGAGCAGTACTTTTGAAAGCAATGAAAGAAAATGTTGAGATTAGCCAATAATCCAAGTAATTATTAAGACAAGATTGTCTCACTAATTATCTAATGTTTAGGGTGTACTTAAGTTTTAATTAATTCCACTAGGCACTAATAATAATATTAGTTAATTACTCAAGTTTGAGTTGACAACTCTGCAATCATGAGTTCAAATAATTTGAAATTTATAAATTTTTAGTTTCTATTTTTTTAACATCCTATTGTCTCTCTTAATTTTTTTTCTATTTTTTCTCTCTCTCTTAATTTCGAAATGTTACATAGTAGTTTTTTTTTTGTTTGTAAAATTATACAAGTTGCATACATGTTTTTTTTTTTAATTAAACAAGGAAAAAAATAATCTGTTTTTGTTTTTGAGTTCCAATATGAAATTTGGTAATATCTTCGTTTCAATTTATTTGATTTATTTTGATTTAACACAAAATTTAGAAAAATATACGAGACTTTCAAATCTTGAGGTCTTAAATTAAAAATGTGTAAAATGTATCAAAATATCATTTAATCTTGTGGTATTAAACATGTGGAAAGTTAAAATTAAACAGTTGTTAAAAAGGAAAAGAGTAATTCTTTTTTTTAAAATGGACTAAAAAGAAACATATGCCAAGATATAGACTCAGTTATCAAATATGACTTCATTTTGAAAACTCAAATTCGAAACTTCTATTAAAGATTGATGGATACCTACTAATTCGGATCAGTGTGGGAAAATTCACTCTTTTTTTAGGTTTTTTTTTTCTTTTAGTGTTCGGTGCTCTTAACTAAATTTGGATTATACGTTACAGAGTCCATTTGAGGTTGACGCTTTCAATATAATTTTTTCCATACTCAATATTTAAATTCGAGACCTTTAATTAGAAATTGAACCATCCTAACATAGGTGTCACTTTGGGGTAAGTTAAGTTGTCATGCCTTTTTTTTTTATTTATTAAATTAATTAAGAACACTTCCATGTTTGTTTTGTTTAATTGAAGATACAACGTAAGTTGACATAAAATATGCACTTCAACATACAATATTGTATTGCCTCCTTACTATAGAAAAATATTATGTTTATGAATTGGCCCATTATTGTTAATTATGATTATTAAAATATTTTCCAGAAAAGAAAAAGAAAAATTGAAAAGAACGTAAGAGAAAACTCATCATTGAAAAGACAATACATTAATACGAAATCTTCATTTATTATGAAAAGGAGTAATATGAAAACAAGAAATATCAGCCACACATCGATATTTTCTTCTCATCCGATATTTAATATTCACATTATGATTTAATTAAATTAAAATTTAATATATCATGAAATTGATTTGTTTCTAGAGACGGTACTATCAACAAAAATTACACACACATATATGAAGTGGATACTGATTTTTGAACTTCTTAATGTGAAAATTCTATCTCGGTTATTACATGTATAATGTAATACTCAAAATGATGATTTTTTAATTGAACATCTGAACACACGATAAAATATTTATATAAGACACTTTTAATTTAAAAGTTAGATCGTTTTATATGTGTTCTTATAATTAAAGTTAAACACATAAATCTAAATGCTCAATTACGAAATACTTAAGATTTATGACTTATTAAGATAAAGACGTAAAATTAATTAAAGAATATAACATATTTTGATTAGTTAACTTATAAAACAATTATTTCAATATTTTATCATAAATCTAAATGCTCAAAACAATCATTTCAATAATTTATCATAAATCTAAATGCTCAACTAATATGCTAACGAAATTTGAATGTCTAAATAAATATTTGGATAAATATATATTGAGCCAAAATCTTCTTTTACTCATTAAAAGTGTGACATACATACAGACTGCAGAGAGAAAGAGAGAGGAACACAAAGACAGAGACAGCAAAAAGAGACAACAGAAGGACAGTACATAACAAGACAACTCTGCCTTGTCCTTCCCCCACCCCCACCCCCACCCCCACTACACACTCCCAACCCCATATCCTCAACTGTTCTTCTTCTTGGGGGTACCCCAAAAATCTTCACATTTTTCTCACACTGTATCAAAAATGCCCATTTGAACCAAACCCCATTTCCTATCACACCTCATAGTTAAGTTTTTGCTCATCAAGATTCAATCTTTAAGCATTTTTCTTCATTCTTAGGACTTTTCAAGTTTATGGGTCATCAAGAAATACATTAAAAATTCAATCTTTAAGCATTTTTCTTCATTTTTAGGACTTTTCAAGTTTATGGGTCATCAAGAAAAACACTAAAAACTCAATCTTTAAGCATAATTCAATCTCTAAGCATTTTTCTTCATTTTTAGGACTTTTCAAGTTTTTGGGTCATCAAGAAAAACATTAAAAATTCAATCTGTAAGCATTTTTCTTCATTTTTAGAACTTTTCAAGTTTTTGGATCATCAGTAAAAACATTAAAGATTCAATCTTTGAGCAGTTCTCTTCATTTTAGGACTTTTCAAGTATTTGGGTCATTAAAAAAACATTAAAAATTCAATCTTTAAGCATTTTTGTTCATTTTTAGGACTTTTCAAGTTTTTGGGAAAACATTAATGATTCAATCTTTAAGCATTTTTCTTCATTTTTAGGAGTTTTCAAGTTTTTGGGCCATCAAGAAAAACACTAAAAATTCAATCTTTAAGCATTTTTGTTCATTTTTAGAACTTTTCAAGTTTTTGAGTCATCAAGAATAACATTAAAAAATCAATCTTTAAGCATTTTTCTTCATTTTTAGAACTTTTCAAGTTTTTGGGTCATCAGGAAAAACATTATTAATTCAATCTTTAAGCACTTCTCTTCATTTTTAGGACTTTTCAAGTTTATGGGTCATCAGGAAAAATATTAAAAATTCAATCTTTAAGTACTTTTCTTCATTTTTAGGACTTTTCAAGAGTTTGGGTCATCAAGAAATTTTTGAAAAAATGTACTCAACATTGTCTATAAGGAATTTGGGTATAGAGGAAAGTGGGGATTTTTTCAATCATCATATGAATCATAATCTTCAGGGTTCTCTTTCAGTTGATGGTACAAATTTGCCTGGTGATTCTTGTTTAGTTTTATCAACTGATCCTAAGCCTCGTCTTAGGTGGACAACTGAACTCCATGAAAGGTTTGTTGATGCTGTTACTCAACTTGGTGGTCCTGATAGTAAGTACCTATTTTTACCTCTTTGCTCCTTTATCTGCATTTTGATTACTCCCTTCGTTACAATTTATGTCACACTTTTCGCTTTCCGAGAGCTAATATGAGTAAAGAAAAGCTTAATTGGGACAAAAGATGCACCAAGTGTATTATTTAGTGGTCAATAAAGTGTGTTGAGTAGAGAAGACAGAGACAAAAACACGAGGTGATTTTGTTACAAATTATGTGGCACTTTTCCTTATTCGGGTGTTAATTTGACTAAAAAAAGTTTAATTGGGACTAAAGATGCACTAAGTGTGTTATTTAGCGGTCAATAAAGTGTGTTGAGAAGAGAATCCTGAGTCTCAGGTTCAAGTTCTAGCAGAGACAAAAACATGAGGTGATTTCATTACAATTTATGTGGCACTTTTCGTTGTATGAGTTTTAATTTGACTAAAAAAAGTTTAATTTGGACAAAGGATGCACCAATTTTGTTATTAGTGGTCAATAAAGTCTCACGTTCAAGTCCTCGCAAAGACAAAAACACTAGGTGGTTTCTTGTGTTGTTGGTGGTACTTGGTAGGTGAGAAGTATTTTGTAGAATTAGTTGAGGTGCTCGAAAATTGGCCTTGGACACCACGGTTATCAAAAAGGGAAAAAAATATTAGGACAGATGGAGTACTCCTTAAAGGATTTAACTTTAGTTTCCTCTTTACCCTTTAGACCATTCATACTCCTTTGTAGATGTTTAGTATTTCTCCAACAGAGCTTAGTATAACTAAGGATAATTTTAAATCATGGTGTAAAACTGAATTTAAAATATATAGAAGGGTAAAATTAAGATATTCAGTATAGTAGAGGGTAAATTTGGAGCTTGTAACTTTATTAAAAGAATTTTTTGATAAAGTTTTGATTTTGATTTTTTTTACTGTGCTGTTCTATGTTGTACATTATGCATTAGTAGTTGTTCTTTCCTTTTATGGATATTTGTTTTGCTGCTTTTCTATGCAAACTCCCTTATCTCTCTTTTACTTTTGGGTAATTTTTTGTCTCTTAAAAAGAAAGAAAGTGTCATAGTCTTCTTATAATATAAGGAACCTTTATTTTTATTAAATGGATTCCATTTTTCCTGTCACAAAAGCTTTAATGTTCTTAAAGACATAAATAAGTACTAATTATTGAAGACTATCATGATTATTGTGAGTCATGTTGATAGAGATGTATGCTATATGTTGCTCGGATTCTCCAAAAATATTGTCGCGCACGTGTCAGATCCTCCAAAAATAGTGCATTTTGGAGGATTCGCGTGTCGACATTTTCCAAGAGTCTGAGCAACATACGATGTATGTATCTCTCACTTGGGAAAGGGGGAAACTAGGCAATTAAGGACTCTGTTTATGATTGCATCTACTTATCTTTTGCGTAAAAAAAGTCGATATGCTAAAAGGGAAGCTCAGTGCACTAAGCTCTCCTTTGGGGAAAAAGGTCAATATGATGTCCTTTACTTATTTTTCAATGGCTGGAGCAGAGGCTTGTTCTATTGAGCTGTCAGTGTATTCTTAAAGAAAATTTGTCCTTTCCTTTTCGTATTTCTTTATACTCCTGCTGATTGCGCACGTATATAAATGGAACAATATGGATAGTCAGCATTCGTATAGACGACCCCAACTAGATTGGTGTGTAGTTGTTGTAACTTTTTTTATAGTGCTATTTTTCTGCATAGTCTACGTCTACAGGATGTCGATGGTATAACATGTAAGCATATTATCATGAAAGTAAATTGTGATGAAATATATGGTTGTTAGTAATATTGCGAGGAGATAAACTTCCAGGAAATTTTTCGATGTGAAAATCTTAAGAAATCTTTTGATTTGGTTTGCATGTTGCCTCCTCTGTACTGATCAGTAGCATAATTATAATTATGGGGTTGTTGCTTCATTTTGCAGAAGCAACGCCAAAAACAATTATGAGAACAATGGGGGTGAAAGGTCTGACCTTATACCATTTGAAGTCACATCTCCAGGTATGTCTTTTGATCGATGTTTGCATTTTGCTTCGTTCCCATATTCCACAGACATTGCAACATCTAGGCTTAAAGGGTAACAATATGCTCCGAATACACTAGTGTACGATCATAAACTAGTGTTTCATGAAATGTGGTAGGACCAACTTTATGCTAGCTCCAAAATTATTGTTTTTCTATCAACTAAAAATAATCTCTTCCGCCGTTTTATAGTATAGTGATCCTTCGATTTTACATTCTGCATTGGAATATTACCAAGCAAGGACAGAAGCTCAGTTCGATTAAGCTCAGTTTTATCCAAAGAAGTACTAAATAAGATCCTTTAGAAAATAGGTACCACTAATAATCAATTCGGACAGTTGGATAAAACGTAGAATTGCTAAAGGCTGCATCTTACATTTCCTTGCAGAAATACCGCATGGGGAAGCAATCTGCTAAAGAGGCAACTGAGAATTCTAAAGACGGTAATAAAGAACTTTTCATTAAATACTACAGTTTCCTAATTAGTTCACTGTCCTCGTAATTTGTTGTAGTTAGTTCTCTCTTTTTTATTCGCCCTTTGGCATGCATGCATAACGATGATTTCGAGAAGTACAAGCACCATATGAACAGTGCTTGGATTCAATTGTTCGAATTGCCATGCCCTCCTTAGTTCTCTTTCTATTGGCTATGCTATAGAAAAACTTTTGGAAATTCCATCTAGATTACACGTTTTCCGGTTGTTGATGCATAGTAAGAAAGATGTGTATATAAATGACGATGACACCTCTGAGAGGAGTATGTAAATGTTAGAAGAATAATCTATTGGAGAAATAAAGAGAGGCCGAAATGGATTTGTTTCTAAACCCTGTGGTAGAGTTAAAACAGTCATCGCTTTATTGTTTGTGTTTGCAGTATCTTGTCCGGCCGAGAGTCAAGATACAGGTTCCTCTACATCAGGTTCATCCAGAGTTATTGTGCAAGATATAAATGAGTATGTTACGTCTTTTAGCATATATTTTTTTGGCAAAAAAATGTTCTTTCTGGTTTGCATCAACTTTAAACTCTCTTTATATTTTTATTGAACAGAGGCTTACAAGTAACCGAGGCTTTACGAGTACAGATGGAAGTCCAGCGAAGACTACATGAGCAGCTAGAGGTTGGTCCCGTACCTCTTCTTGCTCTCTACTTGTAGTGTTACTGTACTTAGTAATGTGCTTGCGTTAGACGTAATCTTGTTTATCTTTTTAAGTAAGCTTTGCACTATGTGTTTTTTGTCCTGTTTCCTTTTTCTATCCTTTGGTATTCTTCTGTACAACGGGTATATAAGAGTGGTGAACGATACGAGAGTAGATTATATATGAATGTTTTTGGGATAATATTTTGCACCAAACACACTTTTGTGTCACATTTTGCATCTCCTAACTAAAACCTTTGTGGTTTACCAAAGTAGGTACAACGCCATCTACAGCTTCGTATAGAGGCACAAGGAAAATACTTGCAATCAATTCTTGAAAAGGCTTGTAAAGCTTTCAATAGCCAGTCCCTCGAATCGAATGGCCTAGAAATGAACAGAGAAGAGCTCTCTGAATTAGCATTCATCAATGTCCCTTCATTACCCGATATTGGCCCGAGTTTTGAGAACAAGAATGCATGTCACGTCCCTGCCAGACTAGGCGATTGCTTGCTTGACGACTGCTTGCCATCAAATGGAATCGGTGCTCTAAAGAAGAGACCGCGAGGTTTTACTAACGTTAACGGATTGCCTATGGAAAGCAATACAAGGGAGGTGGAATGGATGATGAGTAATATATGAACAAAAGATGTAATTTTTACCACCTTTTCTACATATCATGTTTGATCCAAGATCAAACAATGTTGTTGCAAATGTATGTTTTATTACCTTTAATTTAAGTACCTTTTTATCAGAAATGAAGATCCAGTTGAAACCTTCCCTTAGCTTGTTCAAGTTAGATTTGTTAACCAAAAAGTGTGAAGTGATTTTTTAATATGGAATTTGGAATTCTAATAACTATAGTATATATAATTTTCTTCTATTCCCTCATACAACAGCACCAACATGGGTTTGCGGTGCAGTGGTGGGATTGTTTCACATTTAATCAGAAGTCTCGAGTTATTGAGCCTTGGGTATAGAGAAAATTTTATTGGGAGTGCCACCATTGAGTGGGCCTTGCAGTGTGTGATCTAAATTTAGTTGGAACTTCAATGTGGGCTCCAAGACAACCGTCTAACGGAATTTTTTATTTTGCCACCTTAAATTGGTACTCCCTCCATTTTAAATTAATTGAATTGTTGAGACATTTTTTATTTTTCAAATTAACTTAATTGTTCACTTTTCAAGACTACTTTTAGAATGTTCTTTCAATTTTATCCTTCATTAGTTAATATTGGATTTAGTTATTAATCAATGTTTAGTTATTTAGTCATAAATTTGACAATAATTAATAAGGGTAAAAATGGAAAGTTATGTTTAATTTATGTCTTAATCTTCTTTTCTTAAAGAGTGTGAAAAACCTCAACAATTCAATTAATTTGAAATGGAGGGAGTATAAATATTGATTTTATTTTTTGTTTTCTTTTTCCTGAAAATGGAAAAAATAAAATTAACCGTCATTAGAGGAAGGAAAAATAATATAATATATCGAGCCATTTTAATTTATGGTAGTAAATTAATAACTTTAGGTAATAAATATATATTATGATTAATTGTTTTCTTCTATCGATAGGAAATGAATATTTTTTGCTTACAACAACAAATCTTGAAATTCTATTTCCTTTTCTACAAATAAATAAATAAAACTTAGATGAAATAAATAAGCCCCAATACAAATTTGTTTTTTTTTTGTTTTGTCACAATTGCAAATTATATTATAATGTCAAAAAAAAAAATTAGCCTTTGAAGATCATGATACTTCCATTCCTACATGTGATGATGTCCTATCTTTGTATCTTCCATAGGATTTCCTGTTAAATCTTTGTTACATTTTCGATCTGTTTCTAAGTCATGAAATATTATAATATGCGACAAACACTTCAAGAAAGCATACCGTGACCACTCCAATATTTTGGGACGTGAAAAAATGTTGTTACAAATAGTTGATACTAATGCATTCGAGTTTATACACTTGGAAAATCCCCAAGTTGTCATAGAATGGCAATTGTCACCTAGGACAAAGAATTCTCAAGTGTTATGCTCATATGATGGATTGCTACTATTAGTGACATGTATGGCTTACAAGATGTTTGTTTTATGGAATCCATCAACTAGACAATAAAAAACCTTTGAATGTTCATATTTGGACAATTCCACATGTCCTTGTGCTAGTGGATTGTGTTACGATTCTGTAACTGATGACTACAAGGTAATATTGATTTATAAATCGTTTTATGTTGTTTGCTCTACGAATAGAAATATTTGGAGAAAGAAAACAACTCTTTCTATATTAGAGCAAAGTATTATTTCTAGTTGTTCTGGATCAAACTTTTGTAGTATAGGAATCCATAATGAGGATTGTGTATATTGGTGTCAAGATCATAAAGAATTACGTCGATCCTTTAATATAATAACACATCTACAATCATATATTTTGATGTGAAGTTGGACGAATTCAAGGAGCTTTCTCCACCGAATTTTGTAGGAAAAAGTAGTGATCATTTGTATCGTTTGTCTACTCTGAAAGGTCATCTTATTTTATATGGTGGAAAAAACTTTGATTTGAAATCGGACATATGGATGATGGGTGGATCGAAATGGTCGAAACTTTGCAACATAATATCAGCTTCTTGTGATGATTATGTAAGACATTGTTATAAGCTTTTGTGCTGGACCAAGAATGATGAACTTATCTTTTATGAACCATTGGATCATGTATTTTATATCTATGATATTAAACAAAAACAATTAGTTAAGAAAATAATATCTAATTATCGCAAGAATATGTATAGTTTCGTAAATTCAACATGTTTGGATAGCTTATGTTTTCCTAGACTTAATTAATGTCAAGAAGATTAGTCTATAGTTTTTTTTTTCTTTTAAATAAATTTTGTAATATTTATTTCTTAGTATTCATAGTGTTTCAAGTAATAATATATATACTTAAAAGAGATGACATATTTTCTATAAAACAACGATTACCTATGAAGATTTCTAAAGTGTTATGCTCACATGATGGAATGGTACTATTAGTGATACGTAAGGTTTAGAAGACGTTTGTTTTATAGAATTCATTGACTAGAAAATAAACTATCCTTGAATGTTCATATTTGAACTACTCCACACAACCTTCGACTAGACAATAGAAACTTTTTTCGTGTGTGCTTAAATGTCTATTAGGTAGATAAGTTAAATATTAAATAAGTTACTTTTTTAATTATATGTATTTGCCTCAATAAATAATAAAACCCTATACTTATTTCAATTTAGGTTTATATGTATACTTAAAGGATAAAATATTTTATATAATAAATTTAACGACCTATATATTAGACGTTTGAATAAAACACATACAATTTTTAGTTCTTCAAAATTTATACCGATGAGTTCAAATGCTCAATTGGAACAAACCAAAAATAAATAAAACAAATTTTAGTTCAAGTTGTATATATATATATATAATCTTTTTCCTCAATAACAATAAATATTTCTCTACCGATACAAGATAAGAGTAAGATTGCGTACACACCATCCTTTTCAAACCTCATTCATGCTAAGTATGTCATTATTGTTATGGTCCTTTTTGAAATAATTACATATGATTTGAAACCTTGCAATATATATATATATATATATATATATACCAACATTAGTGGAAGGAAAGAATACCAACTCGTATTAATTTATGGTAGTAAAATAATAGCTTTAGTAATTAATATATACCATAGTTAGCTATTTTCCTCTATTTAATTGGAAAGGAATCCTTTTTGCTCACAACTAATCTTAAAATTATATTTCCTTTTCTATACATAATTCATGAAAATAAATTTATTTTTTTAAAAAAAAACTAAAAGTATTTTGGGACGTAGAAAAAATTAATTTCCTTCTCCTCTCCATTAACGGATTTGTACTGTGTTTCCTTTACATATAAATAAATATAACTTAGATGTAAATAAATAAACCCTAATACATATCTGTTTTTATTTTGTTCTGCCACAATTGCAAATTATATTATAATGTCAAATAATAAATTAGCCTTCGAAGATCATGATACTTCTTCGATTATTCCCAATGATGACATCCTATTTTGCATACTTATAAGGTTGCCTGTCAAATTTTTGTTACGATATCGATCTGTTTGTAAGTTATGGAATGCTATGATAGGCGACAAACACTTCAAGAAAGCATATCGCGATCACTCCAAAGTTTTGGGACGTGAAAAGATGTTGTTACAAAAAGTTGATACTAATGAATTAGAGTTACACTTGCAAAATAACCAAGTTGTCATAGAATTGCAACGGTCTCCTATGATGAATAATTCTCAAGTGTTATGCTCATACGATGGATTGCTACTATTAGTAACATGTATGGCTTACAAGACGTTTGTTTTATGGAATCCATCGACTAAACAACAAAAAACCCTTGAATGTTCATATTTGTCCAAGTCCACGTGTCCTTGTACTAGTGGATTGTGTTACGATTCTGCAACTGATGACTACAAGGTAATATTGATTTATACGTCGTTTTATGTTGTTTGCTCTACGAATAGAAATTTTTGGAGAAAGAAAACAACTCTTTCTTTATTAGAGCAAAGTATCCTTTCTAGTTGTTCTCGATCAGATTTTTGTGAAACAGGAATCAGCATTGAGGGTTGTGTATATTGGTGTCGAAATCATAAAGAATTTTGTCGATCCTTTAATAACACATCTACAATTATATATTTTGACGTGAAGTCAGACGAATTCAAGGAGCTTCCCACACCAGATTTTGTAGATAAAAGTAGTGAATCGTATCGTTTGTCTATTTTGAAAGGTCATCTTATTTTATATGGTGGGAAAAACTTTGATTTTAAATTGGACATCTGGATGAAGGAACAAGATGGATCGAAATGGTCGAAATTTTGCAGCATAGCATTACCTTCTTGTGATTATTATTTAAGGCATTGTTATAAGCTTTTGTGGTGCACAAAGAATGGTGAAATTATTCTTCATAAAGCATGGCATCATGAATTATATATCTATAATCCTAAACAAAAACAATTAGTGAAGACAACCATATGCAATTATTACAGCAATAATAGGTATAGTCTTGTAAATTATACATATTTGGATACTTTATGTTTTCCTAGACTATAGTTTTTTCTATTATTTTTTAAGTTTTGTAATATTCTTATTTCTTAGTATTCCTACTGTTTCAAGTTTATTTTCTTAATATTTTGCAAATGTATTTATTACACATGATACGTAAATATGTCCTTTAACTTTGCTTCAACTGATATTTATATCCTCCAATTTTGGGGTGAGCACAAGTAGACGGTTAAACTTGTATAAAATTAAACAAGTAAACTCACATTCTATGTGGCATAATATACGCAAGACATCATGTAGGATACAAATTATTATTGTTATTAGATGTCTATAATTATTTGACTGTGAATTTAATTATTATTGTTATTGAACAAATTTGAAATTTGTAGTTATTAGAAATCATAAATTATAGTAGTTTGAATTGCTTAAACATTCATTTCACCATTGAGTTTTCCATTTGAGAAAAAACCATTTTTTTAAAGATAAAATCCAAAAATGATATTCATATATGAATAATTCACAAAAATAACATAACTCTAGCATTTGTAGCTTCCAACAAGTTAATAATTTTTTTTAAAAAAAATCAACTCATCAGAATTTTAAACACTTAAAATATGTCACCTTTTTTAATTATATCCATCTAATCTTAATAAGTTGTAAAATCTCAAGTCTATTCCAATTTTTATATATAT